CAAACGATCAACTATCTTATTACCCGCCTGTCCAACGTGAGATGGAATCCGGTGCAATATAATTATTTTACGTTTGGCACGTAGCTATTATACGTAATATATTGTACGCCAGTGGAAGGCAATAAAAGGTGAAGTACTCGTGCATTTCATCAGATGGAGAAGTGCACTTTTTGAATCAGTGAAGATGCCAATCGATCAATGTCCCAAGATTCTACATAAGCTAAAGCTTCAAAAATAGCAATCAGCTCCAAATACAGTATTGAAACTGTGGATACAATTTGGAATTTAAAAGAAACACCCATTTTTGGATCGAAAAAGGCTACCGTAATAAATGTGTCTAGAACCGTCTGCATACAAACAGTAAAAGCCAGAGTACCGCGAATTTAAAGATTTGCCACAAATTGTTCTAAGGTTATGTTTATTATAACAATGCTTAGGTTTATTTATTAAATCTAAACTAGGCTTTACAATATCTGATAAGTCCATATTGCTGACCCAAGTGTCCATTGAGAACATGCCAATATTTTTGTTACAGTACATTATGTTCTTGCTTGAGAACATCTTGAGACAAAACTATCAGTGTTTTTTCTTATTTCTCCAATAAAGATTATTATAACAAAAACCACGTAGCTTATCCAGTAAATCTTATAAGTATTAATTTTATTAAAATAAAATCGGATTCGAATTAATTCGGATTTTGATAAACCCACCAATTAACCATCAATTAACAATGCAGTCATCAAGTGTCGACTGGATTTAGCGTTGTTCCTCACTAACAGAAGAATATTGCACATATATAGCGAAGTGATCTGCGTACTGAGATTGTTTTGTACACGTTTACAAATTTCTGATGTTATTATATAAAATAGTATTGGAGATAACGGATCTCACTGAACGAAACCACTACCGGAATGTCTGCTAATAAAGCTATTATGAGATCTTATCTTGAGTACTCTTTAATGAAGAAAATTTCATAGATTTCTATAGATGAGGGTGCCGACTTTAAAGCTATCTAAAACATTAATAAAACCGAATTATTTACATTGTTGTAAGAATTATTTATATCTAAAAAACAACCGTTAGTAGAAAACCCTCGCGAAAACCAGTTTGAATAGTAGTGATCAGACAACATTACCCGTCTAAACACGACCTTCCCTGATGCAAGTAGTAAATATAATATTTATGAGAGTACAAAGAAAAGATTTTCAGTTGCCTCATAGCTTGGGACTTGAGCCACTCTGAGACCTTTCTTGTACAGTTGAATTTTGTTTAAGAGTGAATATGTACTTTCTCGATCACTTTGTTATGTGGGAATCTTCCCAAAGAATTTGCCTGCAAATGCAGTTGACCATAATTTTCCAATCGCTGGGCAAACCTTACGATTCAGTATTTTCCTAGGACGCAAAGGATCGTAAACTAGATGAGAATGCTGCCTTAATATTGTGTTTAGGATGTACGAGTACAGTTGTCGTATCGTTAGGACATCCGCAAATTGGTACAGGCCCTTAGTAGGGTACAAGAAAGGCAAGGAGTGGCTCACCTTAAGAACTGCCTTTTGAGCTTTATCTAGTTTTATTAGGTTAGTTTTACAGCCGCCTCCCTGCACTGAGGCACAATAGGACAATATTGGTTGACATAAAGTCATATAGACAATTTTAATTACTTTTTTATAAGCTACGTTACGCAATCTTGTAAAAATAGAGATCAGTTTACATGTTCAAAATGCGAGAAGATCTAAATGTTAGTTAAAGCAGAGTCAGAGTGTTATCCGCCATCACACCGTGATATTTGATAGTAAATATACTTTGTGTGCTACAGTGGATAAATTTTCTAATTATATTAAATCCTTTTTATTGCAAAAGGCATATATTTAGTTTTGGTTACATTGACTGTTAAGCCATTGTTCCTAAGCCAAGAACACACTGCATTGAATTTCACCTGAGCAGGCGCAAAAGTCTCCTCCCATGTGTCTCCATTAAAGATCAATGCGGTGTCATCAGCGAATGTTACAAGTTTGCCATTGTTAAGTTGAAGATTACAGAGATCGTTAATGTAGGATAGAAAAAGTGTGCCTAGTGCGCTGCTCTCCAACTGTAATGGGTTGATCATCGCTGATCACCTCACCGACTCCCACTCTTTGATGCCTATCGGTTGGTCGGCAAACAACTTATGTTGTGTATCCCATATACCCAGCCTTTCCAGTTTATCTAGTAAGAGTGGGAAAGAGACCGTGTCAAAGGATTTAGCTAAATCCAGGAATATTGCGATAACTTTCCGTCTATATTGCCAACAATATGATCTATAACATCATGAACAGCATCAGTTGTAGAAGTACCAGATCTGGATCTATAGTGACTTTGATAACAATTTTCTAGTGTCAAGGTAAACAATTAGTTTTTTGTAAATTAGTTTTTCTGCTATTTTAGAGACTCCGTCTCCACTCTTAAATATAGGTATTATTTCGGCAAGCTGAAGTCCCTAGGAAAGACTCCTAAACAGCAGGTTAAAAATATACGTTACTATATTATAACTAAACTATAAATTAATATATACTAGTATATGGTGGTATCGTTTTAGAAGGGCACCTGAGATATTGGTTCTAATTCTGTTTTTCGAAAACTCTCTAAACTAAACTAAAAATCACTAAAAATTTGTTTGGTCCAGTCAACTACTATCTTCTTGTCTCTTCCACTCATTGTTTTTTCCAGTTGTATTAACCTTCTTTAGGCCCAGTGTGAAACTGCGGACTTCAAGTTCTGAGGTCGGCGCCAGAACAATTGAGAATGGTTGGGAGTCTAAGATAGAAATAAAACGGAAGTGAAGAAACTGTTTATATCATTAACCGATGAAACTGGGTTCGTGGGTGACAATAGGTCTGTAGATGAATTTGATTTTTGTTTATAGTAAGTAATTTTATTTATGGTCTCCCATAACTTCTTGTTGTTGGACTTGGCTACTGTATCCAACAAGTTACTTTCGTAATCTCTTTTCACTTTTTTTAGGTAACCAATGCCAATACAATACCAATTTTTATAGATATTGATATGTTCTTTAATATTGTTTTGTTCTATCATCAATAGTTTACGGAGCGCATGCGATGAGAGACATTTTATGACAAATAATTTTACACCTTGGGTCACATTCTTCAAGTTTTGGTAGGGATCCCTAATTATTTTTGTAAATAAATATAGCCTATGTCAATCGGTGAAGATGTAGCTTTTTCACGGTGAACGAATTTTTAAAATCGGTCTAGTAGTTTTTGAAATAAATCGTAACAAACAAATAAATAAACAAATCTTTCCTCTTTATAATATTAGTTTAGATGGTAGTCCGCTGGAGCAAGGTCTGGCGACTACGGACTACCATGTTTTTTTCGTGATTTGGACAATTTTCTACGTTTTAATATTTTCTTCCCAGGAGGCAGTACAAATTGTTTTCACACAGTTTGTCGAATCTAGATCCGCAGAGTTCCTCCCGTTAGATGTAATGTAATGAACTTCCGTTTAGATGGCAGCAATGTATGGATAATGAGGGTAAATATTTTGACTAAATAAATGTACAGCTTAGAAAAAAACGAGTTTAAATTTTTAGTACAAATTTGCAATTTTATACTTTAACCCCTAATATTAAACTTAAATGTGTTTATTTTCAACGTTTAGTTTGATTTAAAGGTTGGAATAATACAGAGTGACACCACCCCTATTCATCCCGTGGGTGTTGTAAGAGCCGACTAAGGGAGCAAACTCTACAGGCCAACAGCACTGCAAAAAGGAAAACTTGAAACAAACCCAACACCAATCCGTCTGGCCAGCGTGGTATAGTAGGCCAAAACCTAAAATTGCAAGGAGAGGCCTTTGTCCAGCAGTGGACTGTTAGGAGCTGTTGATGATGATGAGCCAACATTATACTTTCGTGTATGCGTCTTGGTTATATTATTTATATGTGTGCATTGAAACATCACACACAAAGAAAGGCACAGAACCAGCGCGGCGTGCGAATATGAACATTACGATGGTATTGTATTATGACCGTTGACTGTGCATATCAAACATTTTGTGAATGGGGTAGATAATCTTCCTAAAGCATAGTGAAGCAGTTGTGGAAGTTTACAAGCTTGCGCAATAGCAGGTGTGTTTACAAAAAGGTTCATAGGCAAGTCTGTAGGATAATTTATTTTAAGCTGATGATTTCACTGCGGTCTACACTCTTAATTTCGAAGTGCATCAGTCATCGTCGTAGTCATCATCTTGGTAGCAGAGACATTTTCATTAGTAATTCCGGTTCAATGCTAAATTCTTTTTTACCCTGGTTGTATTACAAACCTTTTTTGGTCGCGCTCAAGTATTTTCATGGGTAAATGGGTATATGTCCTCCTTGTAAAATTGTAGTACTTTAAAAACGTACGCAATAGCCTACAATATATCATTATCTTGTAATTTAAGACTAAATTTGATATGGTTGCGTATGCCATTCAGCAACTATTCTTTGCCAAGTGACATACTTAAAAACTTGCCCTCCCTAACTTTACAGTTAGAGATAACCAGTTTTCTAGAGGATTTTTTTGTATTGTTAGAGGGAGCAGGCTGCCCATGAACTTCTGCAACTCAGAAGTCACAAACGCGTTGCCGGCCTTTTAGGAAGAAGTACGCTCTATTTTTGAAGGTTTGAGGTTCGTTTCGGACCGGAAACACCGCAGACGATAACTTGTTCCAAAGATTGGTTGTGCGACGCAAAAAGTGTCTCGAAAAGCGTACAGTAGTGGAGCGCCAATTATCCTGGTGATGGGGATGAAAATTTTGCCATGTGGAGGGATTGCGAAAAGTTGATTGATTGATCAGGTGAGGGTTACAGTCGTGATGAAACCAACCTTCCTTCATACTCTATAAAAAAATGTCCTGAATCACGAGTAAATGCTTTATTTTTAAATTATCCTAAGCATTAAAATTAGAACATTCCGATTACGGAGAAAGTCGTATGTGTGATATAAATATCTTACAGTGCTAAAACGGCTTTCCACCTATGGAGTTCATTATATATTCAAATGCAATCCAGTTTAATACCATCCAAGGTCCTATTCTAAACCATAATGGCACAAATCCTTTGTATAAAACAAAGAAGCCTTCGTTGGTAACGGATTGTATCAAACAATCCACTGAATTTTTGTAGAGCGTGCCTCTGAAAGTTAATAAATAAATTTCATTAATATAAAATGAGAAGAATGGGTAAATTATTTCAAAACCAGGATATTTGCGGACTTGGTGTTGGTTGGACTAAGTATAGTCCATTTAATCTAATTACCGTTTGACGTTTCATACTTTTCAAGCCGAAACAACTTTGTATTGACGTACGTAACTCACCCAAATTATAATAAACTTATTTTTAAAACCATGGCATTATATAACTATTTATATTTTATGTACAATTCTTAATGACTAAATTTAAATCTTTTTAACTAATCAAATATATACAATAAGTAGATAGTTTGGACTTAGACTTCGTTTAAAGGTCACGTAGTGTTGCGACTCTTCAGGTCCCTTGTATACGAATCATTAAAATGTACGAATTATCGAACTTATTAATAACCTACCATTTTCAATCCGGACGTCTTTTAGTATTTACAATAAGCTTCATAAAAATCTGCGCCAATTAAGTTAGCTGCAAACCAAATGTTGCGCAGGTACACTCTCAAAGAACCGTTTGAGCATAAGAATACATTTTATCTACTTTTTACTTTACTTTACTTACTTTACTTTTATTTACTTTTTTGCGTGAAGTATTAGGCTACAAACAAGTAGCAATAGAATTCCATTTATTTAATTCAGAATTGTATAATGTATATGTGTACCTAGTTCCGAACCGTTGCATTTTAAAACTGGCAAAGAAGTTAAATACATATCATGCTTTTGATAACAACTCCGTACTATTAGGGAATATGTACATTATGGATATTTCTAGAATTATATTTAATTTTTGGTCTATTTAAGGTGGCAAATAGCTAAACTAATTTATCTGAAGTAATTTCCCGTACATCGGAGTTTTGATATCAAGAAGGCAGGATCGAACTACATTATATGACCTTACTAATGTGGCAAACGCTATATAACACTAAAATTAGATGAAATTTTATTCATTTATTTTAATATAATAAGTTTTCTTCCCTTTTTTTGTCTCCACGTAGTTTTTCTTAACATATCAACACATTCAGATAACAAATAACAATTGCAAACAATTATCGCCCTTAAAGATACTCTACGTCTCAAAATGATGCTGATCACGAATATTACAAAAAATAAATTGGACAGTGTGTAAATTCATTAATTCGAAAATTGCTAGCACCTATTTTTCATCATTTATATATTATGATGAGTATTTGAAAAATTGCTGCCAGCAATTTTCAACCTAATGTACTCCTCAATATGTATGTAATTTATTTTTATATGCGTGATCGGCGTCATTTATAGATGCCAAAAAAGCACGTTTTCAGAATAATATCATTAGGGCGAAGATTGTTTGGAACTGTTTTTTGTAATATGTATGTGTTGACTGCTGACTACCATAAAATTAGGTTCAAAGTGTATTTTTCTATCTATTTTACCAGTTATAATTCCCATTGTAACTTATGTTCCTAAAATCAGACATTGTCTTATTTATTTGACTTTACTTAAGTGTGTTCAATTTTTTTTTACAGGTATTCATTTATTTATAACGATCTAAGCTGTCTCAGTAAAAGTTTTTAAATTTATAATAATTATTTTTTTCGTGCAACTGGCAACTCTGAAATTTGACAGCTGGTCAAAAAATGACAAAAAATTTGAAGATCAATTATGGATGTTAAGAATCCTTTGCGTCAACGTACCGTCTCTTGAAAACATTGCTGCTGTAAATAAGTCTCGCCGAAAACCCGAAAACATAAATTCGGCATCGCTCTCAACAACTTCAAATTTCAAAAAAGCACTACGCAGCAGCAATTTTGATGAAAGACCTCCACCTTCATGCGTATCGATTCAGCTTACTTAGGAAAGCGCTGGCAATTCGTTCAATGGGTAATGGAGCAAAGTAAAGTCGATGCCAATTTTTCGAAAAAAAGTCATCTTCACCTATGAAGCGCAGTTCCATCTGAATGGCTACGTGAATACACAAAATTGACGAATTTGGGGCTCAGAAAATCCTCATGCAATCCATGAGAAACAAATGCACCCACAACGAGCAACTCTCTGTTGCGGATTTTGGTCAGGCGGCGTGATAGGTCCTTACTTTTTTGGAGATGAGGCCAAAAGCCCGAAATTGCAGTGAATGTGAACGGCATTCGTTACAGGAATATGATAACGGAGTTCTTGTAGCCTCAACTAGAAGGCATGGATCTGGACAACATGTGGTTTCCGCAGGACGGCATCACCTGCCACACCAATCACCACATGAAACAATCGACTTATTGCAGCAACGATTTCCAGAACATATTATCTCACGAAATTCTGAAGTCAACTGGCCACCAAGATCGTGCGATTTAACGCCGTGCGATTTTTTTCCTTGGGGTTTTGTGAAATCTCATATTTATGCGAATAAATCAGAAACAATTCCTGAGCTCAAATCAGAGATCCAACGCGTCATCGGTGAGCTACAGCCACATATCTGTGTAAAAGTCATGGAAAATTTCATGAAAAGAGTAATGGCCTGTCATCAGAGCCATGGGGGCCATTTACCGGATATTTTATTCCATACTTAATCTTAACATATCTTCTTTACAATCCAATAAAAATATCACAACTCTTTTATTAAATACGTGTTTTAATTTTAAAATGAAAAGCGCCCTAATACTGAGAGACCTTTTATATGTATTAATATGTGGACTTTTACAGTAACATTAATAAATCTATAAAACTGTAATCGGTTTGTAAATACAAAGAAATGATATCTATAGATCAGTTATATTGTAGTAATCGCTTTCTTTAATCTGTTCTTTAATCTGTCAGAACTGTCAAACGGTACCTCTTAGGTTAGATGGACTAAAGATGTCATGAATCCGCGAGATCTCCAGTAATCTAGTCTACATAATTCAAGCACATCCAATAATCTTAGACGCTAATCAAAATATTTTAGAATTTTCAATTAAAATAATATTACACATAAATCCAATCTTTTGTCATTCTTGCAGTAGTGCGAAAAAGCTGAGACGTTTTTAGGATTGTATTAATTGCATTTAAAATTTGGTAATAAATGTTCCGGCTACAAATGTTTTGGTAAACAACTTCGTGGGTAAACAATAAGGCCATGCTCAGATGATGTAATGTGAATGGTCATGTGCCGTATCGTGAACAATGTATATTCGCGATACGAATGCGGATTATTAATAATGTCTAGATCCGCGAATACGGATAGTATAGCTATTACGAGTGACCTTAAAAAAGAGAGTTAATTTGGGCGATAAATATTAGGTCTTTAGGCTATGAAATTGCCGTTTTGTATGCAATAAGTGAAAGTACTTATTTTTTTAAACTTTTTTATTTCTGTTATTCGAAGTAATCACCCATGCAATCGATGCATCTTTGCCAACGCATTGGCAGTTTATTGATGCCCTTCTTGTAAAAATCAGCTGGACGGGAGGCAACAAACTCTTCAAAGGCATTTTGTACTGCCTCTCGGGAATTGAATTTTTTACCCCGCAAGCATTAATGCAGATGTGTACTGTGAAGAACTGGAGAGAATGATGGAGAAGCTTGCACATCTGCAACCAGCTTTGGTCAATCGGTCAAAAACAAAGATAGCTTCTTGGAAAGAAGTGATGTGCATGCTTTTAATACCAGAAATAGAAATAAACTTGTTGTACCTGCCTCTAGGCTCCAAAAAATAAACAAGTCATTTCGAGGGCAATGTGTAAGATTCTATAATAAAATCCCAAATAGTATTCAAGATTATAGTATAAACAAATTGAAATCAACAATAAAACGTATACTTTACGTTTTATTGTCAGAAAGCCTATTACTCAATTGTGAATTACATAGATGACAAGAATGCTTGGGATTAATTTAGCACAGGCTATTTCGTAGTGGAATGTGAATGTGATGTGCGTGTGTGTGTCTTTTATTGAATTTTCCATTTGTTTATTTTTTACTTCATTATCTTTTTTATTCCATCTTTTTTCTAGATCTTATTTTCTCTTCGTTGCCTTTTTACCTTTTAGTCCTTAAAACTTACATACTGGCATACATCTAAACAATGTTGTGTATATTTAATGATGCAATTGTTATCTGTTGATTAAAAAAGAGTGGCCGTGAGTTTATTTGTCCTTTCCTCTCATGAGGATCAACCCCTTTTAAATGCGCGGAGATTGGCACAGGCATATAGGAGGTTTTCGATGCGTATATATTTAGTTTGCTAAATATTTTACAAAATATATATATATAGATATATTTATATATATTCATGTCGGAACTTTTCGAATCGAAAAAAACAAAAAAATACCTGTTATAATTTTTTTAAATTAAATTTTCAAGTTTCACTTCTGTCGGCACTCCCGGAGTGCCACTGTTTTTGCGTGCAAAATGCGTATCAAATGCACCTCGAATACAAATGCGCATTCAACGGCCGTTATCTGAACATGGCCTAAACAAAAAAGACAATAAAAAGAAACATACTTTCCATCTGGTCCCATTGATTGATTCATTAAGCGAGTCTTAATTAAATCTGCTGGTGTGCACAATACAGCACCAACTAGACCGGCTATAAAGGCTGACAGTGTGTGGAGGAGTATACCGTCCTTCATAGCAAACTGTCGTTTTAGATAGTGCTTGCTATAATCGTAAGCCGCTAGATCACCAATATTGACCAATGCTGCACGCTGCGCATTTGGGATCGATCCTTAAATGTAAAGATATCCTTAAATCATAGAAGTGCAAAAACTAGCAACACACGTTAGACCAGAAGGCCAATTCTCATAATAAAAGTTCGGTCAAAACTCAGTTCCGATCAGCTCTCGATCTCGCAACTGTCATAAAATGTATTTTCGTAGTAAAATACTTAACTGTTACTAAGACCATCAGATCACCGATTCAATTTTCGGTTACAATACGATATAATCACATTACAGTCAACATGCTTTTTTTTTATGGAATAGGGGCAAATGGGGGTGGAAAGCGTCGGCCGCCGCCCACAACCGCCTGCAACTCAGGAGTCACAAGCGCGTTGCCGGCCTTTGAGGAAGGAGTACGCTCCTTTCTTGAAGGTTTGAGGTCGTATCGGTCTGGAAAAACCGCAAACGATAACCCGTTCCACAGGTTGGTAGTGATAGGCAAAAAGTGTCTCGAAAAGCGCACAGTGGTGGAGTGCTAATTATCCAAGTGGTGGGATGAAAATTTTGCCGTGTGGAACGATGGCGGAAAGTTGCGGACTTGATGAGTTCTGATAGTGAGTGAGTGACTGATAAGTCCGAATAATTCTGCGGAGCACTCTCCGTCCGATCTTTTTAGCACACAAAGCTTCTTCGAGGCCAATTTGACCTATGACCGAGAAACTGGACTTCGCTCGAGATGTCGATGCCTAGGATTTCGACTCTGGCTGAGGCAGTTAGGGAGGTGCTCACTAACTGAGGCAATACGACAAACGGTAGCTTGTGTTACCGAACTTTCATTACGAGAATTGGCCTTCTGTTTGACAATAAGTAAAGAATATAAGTTTACGGTGATGATATATTATTAATGTTAGGTTAATTAACATTTGTAGAGACCATTAGGGAAAACGTCACAAACAGGAATTTACAAGTTCACTTAAGGTTACGTTTGAATATCATAGCTAAATGTTTAATTACCATCTATGTGACAATTAAGGAATGAATGATTTGATTACCTTACTCAGAAGAAACCTACCCAGAAACGATATTTGTAAAAACAATGTTATTTTGACAGTGTTACCAATTTGGTTTTCCCCAAGAAAAAGTGATAATTGTTTTTACAGGCATTAGTTTAGAAGCAATAAATTTCGTGGGTTTAATTTCGAAAGACTTCAGGGTGACGTACGACAAATAAATAAAAATATAGCTTCTTGTAGCTCGCAATTTCATGGACTCTCGCTACTTGGTATTTTGGATGTACTTGAAAAAAGTCTAGTGTGTGCAGACTTACCTCGCCAAAAACCCATAATGCCACTTTTGTTGTAAATCATTGTATATGCTTGTTTACAGCCACTAAATCGCGGTGGCTTGCTCTGTTGTATTCGGTGGCCTTCTGCTTGCATCTGCACTTTTACGAGATCAGCGGGAGACGCAATAATCTGCGCCATGGCACCACAAGTCGCGCCACCTGCTCAAGTTCTCCAGAGATATGAACACGGTCGCTATTTATACAATCTAGTATTGTCAGGAATTTGAAAATTGATAGATTTTGAATAAAGTACTGTTTTATCGGGAGTAAGACAAAACAACTGTGTACAGATTTTCCATAAAACAGTAAACAAAAAGAAGAAAAACAGTTAAACTTGTGGGAGAGGCATGCTTTTGCGCAAAACGGCTTGGCTCGACCGAAGTCAGTGGCGGATTTTAGCGGACAAATTTGGCCAAACAAAGTTTTTTGTCTTAGTTAAGTAAACCAACATTATTATATACACGAAGGAGAAAAGTCTCGAAACTTTAACAAAAAATAACAAAATTTTAGCACTATGCAAGGGCGGCAAAAATTAAATAGTCTACTGGCGGCAAATATATAAATCCGCCACTGACCCGAGTGACACAACGGCTTCACAGAAAACTGGTAGCGATTATTTCTTTGATTATCACTAAGTGACCCTTGAGTTGCAGATCTCCATAGGCGGCAGTACCATCAGGTGACCCGCCTGCTTGTTTGCTCCCCTATGCCATAAAAAATCAGGTTTCGCTTTTAAACTGAATGAAGCCTTTATCGATTTATGTATAGATATAAGGGATTGCAAGTTATATCATCATTGTTAATAGATGCACATAAAAAAAATACATTTTTATTTTTTTAACTACTACTTTACCATTACACACCGTGCATATCGCAAACACGAGTGATATTTAAGGAGGTTCTTTTAAGACATGTTTTTTCCACTTTAAATTTTGTTTGGGAAATTGAGAAAATACTTTTCGTAAAGGTAGCTATGCATTCATTCTATTAAATTAATATATACCTAGAACCAAAATAAAATCATTGCATTATACGTACCTTCATGTACACTTACACAAACTGGCTATATTTTTAAACCTGTACATGAAGGTACGTCATGTACAGGTTTAAAAATATAGCCAGTTTACGTTTTCCAAAAACAAATTAAGTGATATCATTCGGTTCTGATTAGAATCAATTGTTAAGTGAAAAGTGAAAGTGTTAAGTTTTAAAAAGAAACTCCTTAATTACTCAATGCAGGGGTTAAATAATCCACAATACTTTGAAAATGGTCAGAGTATGAATATGTTTCGCGACATTTCCGAGGTCTGCGACAGATCCGCGTAGCCGACGACTGACTTTGGCTGCGTATGCTTGTATGTCTCGTACAGTCAGTGTTGTTCGTCCGTCTTTGCCTGTCGTACATGTCTACCAATGTTATTGTCTGAGTCTGAATCTAAGTCTGATTATAATCACATAACCATCCGCATGCGGTCTTAATCTAATCACAAGAATAAGTCTCATTACTTAACAACAATGTACTATAATGTCTCACATATTATTGAAAATCCGAGAGACAATCTCCCGTTTTCGTCCAATAACAGGTTCCGGATTTGCTCGTAGAATACGAGACGACACCCGGAGTACAACATATGGCGGTGGAACATGGGCAGTAGACCGGACCATAACTTAAGTACGCCTTCTTTTGTTGAAATATTTATAGCTGTTGAGATAAGGCCCCGGTATTCCATCTAGAGAAATTGAACTGAATCAGAAAGTATTAGGTAGACAGGTTTAGAAGTGGCGTAGAAAGTAACCATTTCGCTTGCTATCTTATTTTTTATGACAAATACATATATAAAACGTATCTAGGCCAGCAAATGAGGTCTCTGTTCACCTCTAAAATAAATATTGTTCAATATCAACGTTTGTGTTAGTTCAAAAAGCAATGAAATCGTAAGTAATTCTAAACCTAAAGCAAAAATTTCAAGGCAATTTGGCAATCAAACCAGGGCTAGATTTTGTAACTAGACAAATTTAACACGATCGATCGGCTTACGGATATTTAAAATGCTTTAAGCGCTACAGGGTTTAGTTCAGGGGTACACTAACCACTTCCTTTCTAGGGTATACCTGGTTCCCCGGCTATTAGTATCCGAGACGGCGTGCGGTTTTAGTCGGTTCGAGTCCGACATACCGATAGGTGGTATCCGAGGGGATTTCCGCACGGAAAAAAAAGGGGGATACACTAACTGTCCTAAAGCCTTGTTAAGAGCACTCCATATTTGATCCTCACATAAATTATAGTAACCGCCACGAAACTTAAATCCCTAGGGTTATAGAATGTAGTTTGAATAAAAACCCCTATGCTAGATTAGTTGTTAAAATAAAAATAACTTTGTTTTTATAAGTGCTTACATGTAATCCACTTTTGACGGCAGCAACTTCATTTTGTAATTGTAGTCTTGTCTTTGCTAGGTCAAGTGGATATGTTACTGTAAGGACAGAAGATATTTTCTTCAAATTACAGGACTTAATTGCATTTACATAGCATTTTTTTTTAATTGATATATTATCATGGAGGTATAAAATCAGACGGAAATCCCGCTAAGACTTTAATCTTTATGTGTAATTGAATTTTGAGGTTGTCAAGTTACCCAAATTTATGCCCTAAAACACAGTCAATAAGTAAAAATATTTGATCAACATTTTACTGTTTAATGTCCCAAATGCTGTAATTTTTTTATGATAATATCTTTCACTTTGTGAGGTTTTTGAAATTACCTCTAATTTCGAGATGTGGTGAAACCTAATCGTTACATATTTTTTCGCAACATATTTAATAAGACTAATTTTATGTTTTATTCCGACGAAAGTGTATTCAGACTCTAAGTTTAAAAAATGCTTTCATTGCCAACAAACTTTTCTAGAATTTTTGTGAGAATAGATTTTTATTGTCTTTATTTTCACCATTACAATTTCTAATTATTTGAATCCAATCATTTCTCCATACTCAATTTTCTTTAGAAAAAGTAAAAGAATATGAAATAGTATTCTTAGTAGTAACTATTAAACAAATGACCTTAATAAATTAATTTTAATAACAAGCCAAAAATTTCCTTTGTTTCTGGTAATTTGCACACGTGAAAATTGGCTACACTGGGCTTATAATGAATTCTTTTGTTCTAGCGCATGCTGATTAATTTTAATGTATAAAATCTGGAAATAAGTTATTGAATTATTAATTTACCTATGATGTGATACGTGATGCATAGTGTTTTTTTTTTCGGTACGGTTTTTACAGCATTTCACTACTTAAAATATGTTGTATATTTATATGTTTTCGCCACGTAATGCTTCTCGCTTTTGGATGTAAGACCGGATTAAAACCAATTAAACCAATCCGTTTAAAACATTAAAAAACCGGTTTAAACCGAAATAAACAATGTTCTTCGATTTAAAACGGTTACTTTCAATATGTATAAATAAATAATGTCAGTAGTTACTTAATAAAAGGAAGTGATCAACAAGTTGATTTGATGATAAAATAATCCTTAGAGTGCATTATTTTCAATATTACTCGCATTAGAATTATTGCCACCTATTTCTCAGACACGGCGTGCTGTATCTTTAGATATACTGTAAAACTATTTATTTCATAAATAAATAAGAAAGTAGATACAATGAATCAATTATTTTGTATGAGTGATGTGCTAGTGCTGCGAGCTTGGATGGAGGTGAACGTTCAAACGGTCCCTATAGTTGCGGCACGCTATGATGGCCGTTTTGACATATTACAATAGTGATGTGAAATGTCAATTTATTCTCGAAAAAACATAATGAAATCTATAAGTTTTTATTGGAAGTAGTACCTGATTAAAAAGGTTTAATAAAACAAAAATATAAATGCTTACTTAATATATTTGAACGATCTGAATATTGGAATGAAAATGAATATACATACTTTATATGCACACAAGAAACAAATTAATACAAAAAGAGACCAAAAAAGGGTCAAGGTCGAGCAAGGGTCAACAGAACTGCAGTATCAAAATTCGAAATCCAAAGCCAGGTAAAAACTATATCACAATCGCAGTGAACTCACAGTTTGTACTGCTTTGTTTTGCATAGAGCATTCACGCGAATTTGCCGAAGGTAGTAGTTGTGTGGCCAAAGATCCTATGATCTTATTAAAATCTTATCTAAGATCGTATTAAAATTCATTTTTTTTAATTTTGAATTTCGAAAAACAAATGCCGAGTTGTGTGGTAAATAAGTACACCAATAATTATAATCTTATAAAAATAAAAAATGAATATTCGCGGGACCCTAATATATATAGTTTAGAAATCAATGTAACAAATAAATTTTGTGTCCTAAAATAATACATTCGATAAATTTTATGACTAACAGCACGTTACTATTGACAATAAAGAACAGCAATTTGCTCCTTCAGATGTAATTACCAATTAATACGAAACCTAATGAGTGGACAAACGTCAAACCGTTTTGCCATCATAGCGTGCCGGTAGTATAATAAAGGAGACCGGTCCGATCCTATCAGCTCAAGTCCTACTGTTTTTTTTAAAGTATATTTACCAAAATATTTAAAAACAGAGAACAAAGTATTTTTTTTCATAAATTACAAATTCTCCCACTAACGTGAGAAACCTAAAACTATATTTTGCTGGTAACACTGTATACAAATTACAATGATTATTTTTTATTTCGATTATAGCATTATTTACGTCAATATCGATACATAAACAATATATTTACATCTGAAAAGTAATTCTGCTTGATTTATTAAAGTTTAGTGACATTGAATCGCATTCTTTCACTATGCATTTATCCATTTTGGCGAATGTTATTGTCACGTGTCGTTATGTTTAAAACCTTCGATTGTTGATCGAAGTTTAAAATAGTAAAATTTTATTTAAAACCTCCTAAATCGGTTGTTTTACATCTATAGTCTCGCTGTCTTGATGTTTGCGAGCGTAATGGCCGACTAATGTGTGTAAGTGTGCGTAACGGCCTGTACGTACAGCGAGCTGGCCGACTATGAGTGACACAGTTTTTTGTTAACGAGACTCTGTCCGATTTTTTTATACGTCCATGTAAATTAATATATACATATTTAAAAATGCTTGGTTGTAAAAAAAATAGATAGATTTTATGCAATTCTTGGTTGTTGCCTTTCATGGACGAATAGTAGCGTTTTAAGAAAAGAAATCTTTTTAAAAGGTAAAAAATTGTTTCAGCAAGAAAAACGTATCCGATGTGTGGGTAACAAATATATTGAGTATGACTATGACCTATGACTGTGACAAAATGCCTATGGCATTAAGTCCGCCATTGTATAATTAATTTGTAATTTGTGCATAAAGAATAAAATAAAATAATAATATTAAAACTACGTTTTGACGGTACGTTCCAGCTGACTAAGAAACAACTGATGTTTTAGTTCGCTAAGCTGTAGTTCGCTATCGTATTCGACTCTTAATGACTCATCTGAAGCGCCTAAGTTTAATCTCTTAGCTACTGTAACATATACTTAACATATAAAGAAATTAATTTTAGAAGAATCTAATAGGTAATTTCAGAAAAAAAATTGTTGGTTCAGTTGGTCAGTTCATTCAGTTCGCTTCTCGTCAGCTTTTTCCTCTAACTGGTGCATTGATGGCAAAAATCATTTCTTAGGTAATTTAATAGATTTTACCGTTTGTTTTTTCTGTAGTAAAGCCTTTTTAGTTATTTCTATTTTCTCCACTACTGTAGATAGATACATAGATGTTAGTTACCAGTTTCAGCCACGCAGGCTGACAAAACAGCCACGAAGTACCTTGATAACACAGAGTCCTGAATAATAGGAACAGGCTCGGCAACATCCCTCACTAGTGTATTGCTCATGACTCTAGACACTGCTTTATTGATCTGTGAGGATAAATTGTCTCATTAGCTCAGAATTAGTCTTGGCATTCGCGCTGAATATTGCTATCAGGATTCAATCGGTGTCTTTGTCTTCTTGCGTCATGCGTCAATTTGATTTTTTATGGTTGATTAATAAGAAACTACCTAATATTTAGTAAGTAATTAATATCATCGGTTACATGTTTAAACTTCTCTTACCAGAAGGCATTTATGAAACCTTGCTAGTAAGCCAACAACGTATCATAAAACTTTCTGATTTAATCATCTACAAGTGCTAATAGTTAATAAAGAAGAAATTGCTTTTGCTAAAAAATGTGGTATTAAAATTTTTGGACTGAAAATAAGACAATACTACCCCCTCCTACTCTTAGTCGTAATATTTGGGTACAGGTAAACTTTTCCGCGCCTTGCATTAAAATATCAGGCATGGATATGAATATGGAGAAAAAAATATGCACACTAAATGATGGTGATGTGATGTGGATAATTAAAATTAGATATACATTTGTAGTATATAAATATTTTATCTACCGATCATGTTCTATAAGGTACTATTAGGTAGGTACTTATGTGAGTAAAAAACTACTCTGTTTTCTTCCTTATTAAATTCTTCACCCGTTTGTGTTCTTCAAATGTTTTTCGATAATGTGGTCTTTATTTTTTACTATACTATATAAATGCCTTATTATCATTGAAAAATAAAAGTATACAAATAATTTTAGATTCACGTACCTACTTCTTAAATGACGTATAACTTCAAAATGCATTTGGTCACAGGTTATCAATCAAGCATAATAATGCTTACATCCTTCTTGCAAATACATACTGAAGGTTAATATCAGGAAGTCTCATAGTATAAGGTTTATCCTCAAATGCTATGGCAGGAACAAGAGACAATAAATTGCTCTCGGTATACTTATCAACAAATAACACAATTGGTATAATTTATTATAATTTTAATAAAACCTACCACGGGAATACAACTTTATGTAGGGCAATGGCCAAGGGAAATTTCGTAGATAAAAGCAGCAAATACCTAAAACAGCCATTACAACTGATTGTGTATAATAAAATACACAAATGGGTAAAATTAGGCTTACATTTTACATTAGATTAAAATTATACACTTATTTAACTACCAATATATGTACCTACAAACTCGTAACTTACACTTTTACCTGTCACGTCAAATTATAGGATGTGTTCTTCGGTGTTGAAAGTTTGCTTTTGTTGATTCCTTCTTGTTGTCCTACATCACTACTTTAGTAAGTAGTAGCATGTCGCATCACTGAGTCACGTAGCAAGATGTACACTCTAGCGCAGCCATTGCTTGATCGAAGAGAGTAGATATATTCTTTGCTTGATCGTCCGCGACACTGTATAGACTTAAATCTAGTGCTCTGATTATATGACGATATAATATTCAAAGTCGTTCTTATTTACCAAGTCCTTAAGCAATACATGAGAACACAATTTGAGAGATTTTTTTTTTATTTTACAAGTTTATATTTTACTAGTTTAAGTTTTATCATGCCTGTAAAAGATAACAATTTATTCATTCTTAATCTTTCATTCTCAAATTTCTTTTTTTGGCTCTACATAAAATCCTTTGACAGTTTGTTTTTCAAATACATGAAATTGGCGAAATTGTGGTTACCCTCCACCACACAGCCATTAACCAAAAGTTGAAGTTGAAGAATGTTTTTTTTTATAAAGATGATAAAATAGCACATTAAGAATGAGTATTGTGCATCTATACATACAAACTTCACTAAATATACTGATTTAGGATTTTGATATCGATAATGATCTAATTTTTTTATTGATAATGTATTTCCTAATAAAACAAAAAAAAAACAAGTCAACAATTATTATCATTTATTAAATAATAACATCACAATTACAACAATTATAAATCAACAGTACAATAAAGCTATGTCTAAATTACTATGCATATATTATTATAAGTATTTTTTATATTGATTACATTCTTTTTTATCACAAAGAACATGTTCGAAATTATGTGTTTGAATAGGTACCCTGTGGGACACGCTTCACTAAAACCTCAACTTTCTTGTCACCAAAAATATTTTTTTTAATCATTATAATTTAATCTTTGATTTATAATAAAAAATATATCCTAAATCACATTGTGGCTGGAAACGAAGCTACATACGTGCCATTTTACAGCTAAACAAGTAAGTATTTAAATGATCACATCAAAAGACCAATAGAATAAAAATCGTTAAAGAAAAACCAATGAATAAGTTTTCTTTTTGTTGTCTAAAGCTAATTTGTTGAGTTTTCTTCTACGCTAATTTCCTCTACAGTAACATCCATTTTCTATACAAATATAGGCATTTATATTGCAACAACTTTATTGTAGATTGTATTATACTTCTAAACACATTACTATAGTTATTTTAGGTTTAATAGCACCTTTAGTGATAGTAATTAGGGTTAGGCCACACTTGCAACTATGTAGCATACAGTACAAAATCAACTTAGTAACAGGTGCGTGCGTCCTATTTCGGCAGAGTGGCGCAACCTTTCTGTACTTTTGTGAATAAAAAATCAGTTACAATTGTGCAAGCTTCGATGTCATTTGTATTATGTTAATGTACTACTACGTACTAGTAGTGCCTTTCTGTAACTACAATCTAATTGTATTACATCTCTCATACTATTAGATAAAGGCAAAATATTTACAGAACTAAACATACAAATAGTGCTTTCCATCATTGTCAGTTGCTAACATTTGAGAATATGTAAGAACCTAAGGTACTTGTCTGTAGGTACATAGTAAACTATTTTAATATACCTATTGTTTTAGAAATCATGAGAAATGAATTTAATTTAGAGATGTCTATAAGCTGTCAAAACAGAACGAAGCGTCTAGATAGAATAGAATCTATATTGTACGCGTATCATGATATACCAGAATTTGTACTTAATTTCACACTCCATTTCTCACTGTTGGAAAGAATACATGAGCTTCAGAATCGGCGAATCACACTGGTTGTTTGTCAGGAATGAAACGTAAAAGTACTTTGATGATAGGTATATCAGTTATACCAACCTAATATTGAATAACATTCTCTAGACCTTATCTTTATAAGTTATTTTATAAATTATGTACGATTAAGAATTTACTTATAAATAACATTTTACTGTGCATCATAATAAGAAAGGTATTGCATAAAAAAAACATAATTAAAAAAAAAGATCAATCAATTTTTAACAAAATATTTTTTATGAATTAATTTACGTAGTCCTCATAATTCTGTTTGTCCAAATAAATAATACTTATTAGTGCAATAAACATATTTAATGTTTATTGCACTAATAAGCACACAAAATATTCTATACCTATAATATATGTACATATGTATAATACACATATTATGTATGTAATATATATTATAGTAAATTATGATATGGGTGATTGTATTTTTGTACAGATTACTTCAATTGCATGTGTGAGTTTCCACTACATCACAACAAATAACAGCAGAAAGTATGGACATTGGAAAGGCAAAATGTATTGACAAAAATTAAGATGTGACAGCTTTGACTCAAAAGCAGATAAGCTAACTAATACATTTTGCCCTTCCGTAGTCGTTGATAGTAGTTACATTGTGTAACTAACTGTCAAAAATGTAGTCAATCAACATATTTTTCACAAAACTAAGGATGGTATATTTTTCTAGTACACCGGCAACATTTCAAAATGACTTTAAACACTTTCTATTTATAATCGTTTTAAAAAACAATTGTTAAAAACGTCAACTGACTACAAATGCTAATAAAAGTAATAAGTACATGGGGACGCAATACCACTAGGTATATACATATATCTCATTTCATAGTTTACAAAATATGAACTAAATAATCTCAATATTTCTCATTTGACAAGAATATTGATTTACAACGGGAAAATAACTAAAAATAAGTACGCAAACGGACGATAAAGTGCTTTGTACTGGCCTAGTTTTGTATTTATTACTAATTAGTCTGAACTGAAAAGTATCCATCTACTACTTTTGAATAGTGAGGGTATCGTTTTAAAATTATAAATAAGACACTATGTTCCTGACAAGATATAAAATAAAATAATTATCTAAATCAAGATTATAAGCGAATATATCGATTAGGTTGTCTTTCTAACCTTTAACAATGTAGTTTTCAAACAACATTAGCTGAAGAAGTCAGGACTGTATTTCATGAGAACATATTATTATTATCTTAAGAGCGGTTTCGCAATACGTCCGACCCAAGTCCGATTCGAACCCAGAAGAAGTAAAGATTTCTGGGTGCGTTCATACAAATAATAGTATGACTACTTTGGTCCGTCAATAATCTTTTCCGGAATTCCCGGATAACCAAAAGAAATCCGATGACGGAAGTCGTATCTAGTGCTTAAACTACTATTAAAATACGACTACTTCGGACCGTATTTTCACGGGTTCGGATCGGATTCTGATCAGACGTAGTGCGAAACCGCTCTAACTGATTTTAAAATTAGAATGTATTCAGGAATTTGTCTTATTTTTGTATGTAGGTATATGAGATTTTAAGACAAAGAAGTATATCGAATATCTTGTATTTATTATCTTATATACGCTTGTGAATAAGTAAGTATTGAAATAGGCGCTAATTTACTTCCTTATGAATTTATCTACTGAAAGTACAACTAATAGCAACTCATCAGGGCTTAATTCTGCTATTTTAATATTGTATCAATTGACTGTCGATGGACTGTCGTCAGAATAGTTTTGCATTTTTCTTATTCTACTGTGTAAGACAAATAGTCTCCCGATGACCTGTCACTGAACTGCCACTGATAGCAAAAGTCTTTGTAATAGTTTGGTAAACGGTACATTTTAAATTTGGAAGGAAATGAAATATTTATTTTTCCAGATATGGCAATATTGTTAATATCACCATCGATGAGCCCTTATCACTACATCGACAGTCAATTGACCACTACTATTGCCACTGTGAATTAATGTTAGTAGAATACCGATATTTTGACCGATGTCAATAGCATCTCAATAGCGTGTCAATGGAATGTCAGTGGCTTACTGTCATTCCATTGACAATTGGCACGCTATTAAGTTAACATAAAAAAGCAGAATAGAGGTCCAGGGTTACGGGTAGGTTTAATATGTCGTAAAACCAGTGCAACACATACAGCGATCATTACCAACGTCATCAAATCATCATCGTCATCAACGATTAAAGTGTTTCCTTCGATCAAACAAAGAATTGTAATATTGCCTCGTTATCTTCATTAGCCTCCACACACAAAAAAGCCCCATCGTTTTAAGTAGTTAAGTACTCTCGGTCATTCTCGGTAGATCCTATGTATTGAGGCTCATCACACCCAGGTCCTTTACGCTATAAAGAATTAGATATTATATTAGTACTAATATTTGGAAGGTACATACAACACGTTTTTAGTTTTCTGACTTTTCATACGCTCATGGCAAAATTTAGATCTTGACTGTTTAGCAGTGGCATGACATTTGAAAAAGGTATAATAATAGTTAAGGGTTGTCTAAAAAACGATGAGAAACCTTAAAGCGAGATTGTATATTCAGGATATACAGTGGAAAATACACAGTCTACTAAAGCAAGATTTAAGTTTGCGACAATAAATAAAAACTATTCTTCAGAAGAATAATTTTTAACATCGATATACCTACTTCCACACATAGCGTAGAAGCACTTTAAATTCGTATATGCTTACATTTAAAAGGTACGGCCACCTATTGTTAACATAATATTCTCGAATGCGACCCAGTTGATTAACGCCCAAGGTCCCAATCGCATCCAGAGGGGCAGGAATCCCTTGTATAAGGCCAGAATACCTTCATTTTTCACTGATTGTTGCAAACAGTCTATAATGCCTCGATATAATAAGCCCCTGAAAAAAGAAAGATACCTATTAAAATAGTGGTCTGGTAAAGTGGACATGCATACAAACATACAGGATCAACGCAAGGCAGATACAGAGCTTTTTAACGGCAACTTCCCATCTATTTAAAGCCCAAGGGTGTAAGCTAGAATTATTTACAAAGAAAATAAGAGAAAAATGATTCCTTCGGCAAGCGTATCCAGTCTTAGTTTTCAATTGACACAAAGAAACATTATTTGTTATGTTTCACATATAGTTGTTCTCAGTCTAATAATACAGATCTACCTAAGTACTTCAAATGCTTTACTTGCAGGGTTTAGAAAACCCTACTAGGTATTCCGGATTAATTCCCTAAATCGGTTCCTACTGCCGGTTCCGAATATTCGATTACCATATACCATATACCGTATTTAATACCAAATGTGGAAGGAATATGGATTTATATTCAAAGAAACTATTTAAAAGGAGAACATAATGTAAAGAAAAATAGGTTGTATTCATTCAAAGCTACCAGTTTAATGTCGCTACTTTGTTTCATAGTATGTCTAATTTACAAAAGCACACACACAGCCATAGTCCATTGCGATATCAACAATTCGTTAGAAAGGTGATCCACTAGAGCGTGAGTCACGTCCTGCGCGTATCGACGTGACGACGACGGCGCGCCGACTTTGACCTCATTCCTGTGACCTCAGCCGAGCCACACTTATAACCAGCCTATTCACTACTATTTACGGCTATGAATAGCCAACCAAACACTGAACCCGTAAACATTAAGAATAAACGCTATTCGTCAGCTGACTATTGATGCGTGTGAATATGACGTAATTGAATGGTTCAATATGACGCGAGGTACTCATTTAACAACTAAAGATAAAGAAAAACATACAAACATACTTTACATTTATGCCTATTTGAGCTTTATACAATACATATGAATCTCATAATACACGAATCCCGCCTCTTTTTTGAAATTATTAAAAAATAAGACATGTGCACTGACAAACGATATTTTAAATATAAATTGTATAAATTAAACATAAAAAATATTTATTAAACATTCACAAGTAACACAACAGCTTAAAAACACGAAAATGGACCAACGCACATTCTTAAAATATAGCATACTAGCCACCCACCCGGCTCTGCACAGATGCAATATCTGTACTAATATTATTAAAAGCTGATGAGTTTGTTTGGTTGAACGCGCGAATCTCAGAAACTGGTCTGATTTAAATAAAATCTTTCAGTGTTAGATAGGCTATAGGCTATATTCCATTACGCTGCGACCAAGTACACATACAAATTCGGTGATAATGTTATCACTAGGGTAGATCATGTAAGAGACCTGGGGGTAGTGTTGGATTCCAAAATGCTTTTTTCTCGTCATATAGACACCATTACCAGTAAGGCATTCAGAAATCTAGGCTTCGTTATGCGTACGTGCGCTAAATTTAGGAATATCAACTGCCTTAAAACTGTTTACCGCGCATACGTGCAAAGTGTACTTGACTATGGCAGTCCTGTTTGGTCTCCCCAATATGTTACATACACAGATAAAATTGAGAGAATTCAAAAACGTTTCGTGAGACATCTAAATTTTAAGACAAGGAGACGACATTTATCATATTTTGACGACTGCAAGCACTATGATCTGCTGCCTCTATCTAGTAGGCGTGTGTTACTAGACATGAGCTTTTTGTTCGCTATCATTCGAGGTGAAATTGATAGTATCGAACTTCTCTCTAATATTAGCTTGAATACACCCGGGGCTCGTACTAGACATACGCGCCTGTTCAGTGTTCCTCTGCATCGCACCAATTATGCTAAGAATTCTGTTCTCACTCGTATGCCTAGGTGTTACAATATTAATTTTGACGAGATCGACATCTTCCACCTCTCAAAAAGTGCATTTAAAAGACAAATAACTAAAAAGTTGCAATCATACTTATGAGTCCAAATTAAGTTTGTTTTTGTAAGTTGCTTTCTTTATGAATACTTCTCACTCTGCACAATATACCTTATATAAATTAAATTATAGTTAGTATATAATACGTACAATTGCCTTTTTTTTTTTTTTTTTTTTTTTTCCGTGCGGAAATCCCCTCGGATACCACCTGTCGGTGGCATGTCGGACTCGAACCGACTAAAACCGCACGCCGTCGCCGGGTACTAATAGCCGGGGAACCAGGTATACCCTAGAAAGGAAGGCCCTGGTGCCCCGACATACCTCGGGTCATCTACAGACGAGTAGACGACCCCCGCCCCGTGTGGGAACCCCATGTTCCCTGTGCTCCCTGGAAGCGAGCGCGCTTCGCAACGCGCTCGCCGCCACCCCGGCCTGCTTCTGCTAGGGTGACAGATGGCCTCACCTGTCACCCCCAGGCCTGCGCTTATGGAGGACGGAGGTCGTTCTGCGACCTCCGGCGCCTGAGTCGCCTGCGCTGCCTGGCCCGTGCCCGGGCCTGGCGGGCCGGGAGAGTTCTAAACCTCTCCCGGTCCCGCTCCGCCGTCTCCTTCGCGAGCATAACTTGCTCGCAGAAGGAGACGGCAGAGTTCCACGCACTCTCGCTCCGCACGATAGCCGCAATCAGGCTATCGAGCGAGAGAACTCCCACTCCGATGGCCGCCACGAGGTCTCGCCTCTGCTCAACCCACGCCGGGCACTCTGCCAGCGTGTGGAGAGCCGTGTCCACGGTCTGGCCATCGCAGTGGTGGCACTCAGGCGTTGGCTCCTTGCGGATCAGACACAGGTGATCTCCGAAACATCCCTTCCCAGTGATCACCTGCGTCAATCGGTATGAGAGGGTCCCGTGACGCCTCTCGAGCCAATCCTCCATAACGGGTCTTACCGCCGCAATGACGGCGTGCCCGACGTACAATTGCCTATGTTTAAGTGGTGCATGCAATTTTCTTTTACTTGTCGCGAAACTTTATTATTGGCTAAGAGTCTAAAAAATGTTTAACTTCACCCATAATATATGTAACATAGCTGTTAAGTTTCCAAATAAATAAATAAATAAATAAATAATAGTTAATTAAATAATGGTTGATTCATAAAAAATGTTGCAAAAACGGGGGAAATTTATTCCTAGTCAGACAGTAAAAATTAAAAGTAGTCTCAGTAAAACTCAGAGATAATATAACCGTAAAAGAATTTTCAAAATCGCATCAGTTTTAACGGAGATTGTTCCAATATATAAACTCACAGACTTAACCTCTATCTGTATATTTATTCTATACAAATAAATAAAATTGAAGCGTCTGTTTGTAATGTCAAAATAATAAGTTTTTTTCATGCTCCCGATTGCTGCACGATACCTATGCCTAAAAGCCAATTCAACATTTTTTTCTTTGGCTGGACCGATTTTGATAATATTTTACTACCAGGTAGGCTGTCTATATAAGAAGTAATTTAGGCTATATTTCCTCTCAGAAAAACCCTATAAAAATTTGTCGGGTCCGGGAATGGAATCCACTAAGGCAGCGCTTTTCAAATTCCACGCGAACGAAGGTAATAAAATCCTTCTTAAGACTCTAATCGATGCTGATTTTCTGATTCGATTTTTGATCAGATTTTCATCTCAACACTCTTGCTCGGCTTTTGTATGGTTCCTCGGAAACCTTGGTAAATTCTGATTAGCCAAAAGTCTTTCAACTGTAATATGATAGCCTCCATTCCTAATTTGATGAAGCCTAAGAAGTTTTTAATATAACTGCTACGAATGCCTTTTAATTAGATAGTATAGTCACAGTATCGATCCAGAAAACTGTACGAATCTTCTTTGTGGAGTTTTTGAATGAATGATAATAAATTCTCCTCGTTTTGATTTCGACATACCACTTCGATTAGTCTCTATGAGGTTTAGACCCCTGAAATACACCATATGTCAAAAAGGACAAGAAGGTGAGACCACTTAAATCAGTAGCCCTTTTTTTCACTTACTGCATTACTCATAAAAAAAGTGTTGTTTTGAATTACGATTGAAACAACGCCTCTTTCAAAATCATTTTGAGGATATTTATAGCGTTTTAGATATCGTTAAAATTACCTTCCGTTAGGTCCTACAGGTTGATTCATCAGCCTAGTCTTGAGTACGTCAGCAGGTGTACCAAGTACGGCAGCGACGAAGCCGGCCGTAAAGGCAGAAGCGGCGTGCAACCCTAGTGTATCTGCCATGCCGAACTTTCGCATTAGGAACTGTTTGGAGTAATCGTAAGCGGCCAGATCACCCATATTGACTAGAGCAGCACGTTGCACATTAGGGACTGCGCCTAGAATAGACACATCAGAATTGGTAAATATTAAATTTTATTAAAAATGTGAATATAAGGTAGTTGGTTTCTTCCGCGTTCACGTGCCACGTCAACTGATCATAATAAAATTTGAACACACGTCAGTTGCAACATCTCTCTGACGACTCTAGTCATCAAAAGAGTTACAGCACTGCGCCTGTGATTGATAAATTGTTATCTTTTGCAGGTTGTAGTGGTTTTAAGGTTAGCGGTATTACAAAAACGTACGAACGCAAAAAAATATTAAAAACACAAACAATCGAAAGCTTAAATTACATAAAAAACTGTACATGTGGTTTAATTGATTTTAAGAAAGTATTTAAAGTAACATCAACAGCCTCTAATAGTCCCCTGCTAGACAAAGGCCTCTCCTTAGAAAGGAGGTTTTTTCATATTATGCCACGTTGGCCAGACAGGTGGGTATAGGGTTTGTGTTAAGTTTTCCTTCACTTTGCAGCGCTATTGTCCTACATAGTCTGCTCCCTTAGTCGGCTCTTACGACACCCACGCCATAAACCCCTAGTGTTGACACTCCGTATTCTTAATCCGTCACCACACGGACATGTAAAGTAAATGGTATACAAAAAATATTTTAGCCCTATTTTTTCAATAATTTTCAGTCTGTATTAAAATGCTGCATATAGCCATTAGTAACGCTACGTGTATCGATTTACTATCCACATGTCGAGTGAGGGTCACCGATGGGCATACATTACTATTAAGGGGCATCTGACGCATAAGCGACAGTACAATTATAACGGTTAGAAACCATGGGCTCAAAAGTCGCAAGTGAAATCGCTCACAAGGTACAATTTATGACATGCAACTTGATCACAAATGTCTTTTGCAAATGTATGTCATGAATGTGCTTTTTAACGCCAAAATACTTTTTTTAGCTAGAATATATAAATGTGGAAAAAAGACGTTAAAAGAAACGTGCAAGCGCTTCAGCTTTTAATAATAGGTTTTTTGATGAGATTGGCTTTCTATGCTTATTCTCTAATAAGCATAGAAAACTAATCTTACCAGATAAGTAAACATTTGAAATATTTTATCTCTATAAAAGATGGCAAATGTTTACTAATGTTTTACTCAGTTGCATTGCTCATTTTATACTAGCATTAATTAGCATTCATTCTCCTACACCTCTGTCAGCTTCTGTATTCCCTTGAAACTATTTCAGCATAAAATAGAATATTAAAAGATGCAATGAGTAGTTAAATAAATACATAAACGTACCTCTCCAAAAACCTAGGATGCCGCTCTCAGCGTATAGAATCTTGTAGACTTGTCTGCAGTTTTTAAACCGCGCAGGCTTGCCCTGCTGTATCCGCCGGCCTTCTGTTTGCATCTGTACCTTCACCAAGTCGGTCGGCGAGGCGATCAACTGTGCCAGGGATCCAGCAGCCAACCCACCTGCCGAACTTCGTAGGAATTATGTTTCGTTGTTTTTGGTCGGTTGTATGTATACAGTTAATAATGGTAATACTATTGAACTTGTTACCAACAGTAAGAAATGCAATTTAAAACACACCGAGTGTTTATACACAACTTTAGTGACTTTACTTCGATAATTACTATAGAAATTTGGATAAACATTTTGTATACATATATACACTTAATACCTATTTGTAAGAAATAAAGATACAAAATACCGGAACATACCCAAGCCAGATATTACCAGCTATGCCGAGTCCTGATGGCATAATGAGGAAGCCATATGTTCCAGCTTATACCCATGTAATGTGTGTCAGTATGACGTGTCGCTGTGTTTACGTATCGATCTCTTTTTGCGTACCAGGCCTACCTAATATCCTAAACGATAGAGTGAGGTCAATAGAGGAAAATATCGGTATTTTATTGGGTGTGACGGTAACGTAAACGCAAATTATATTATTTAACTTTGGCTAAGCGTTTGTTTTCATGAAATTTGTCTCAATCAACATGTATCTTGGAGATGAACTATCAATAAACATTTGAGTTGATTTTGGCGAAATAATTTCCTTTTATTTAAGCTCTGGGAATCCTACTTACCTATAAGGTCACCATTACGCTATTGAGCTAGTAGTGCTAAGGCGATCTTCTGCTCCGTAAAGATAGTAGACAAGTGAGGTTACTTCAATACAGATGAAACAAAGACCTATAAGAACGCACAAACCGGCTATCTGTTTACAATTTGATTGATACAAGTACCCCTGCCTTAAACTTTAACCAATCGATGTATTAACACTATTTAATCCTGTAAGGTAACAGTTAGTTGGTCTTATTACAAATTGAATCGTTTCTGTGCAACATAACTCATTTGTAAATTAATAATTGGTATTTAATTATATTACATTATTTGTTTTTAATTTGTTTGTATGATTTATTCTATATATTAGATTACCCTCCATCCATCCTTAAGGTAAAATATTTAAACTAAATAAGAATTAAGTTTTTCAACCGTAACGAGCGTGAGTCCTCGGCTCTCATTAGAACAGAGATGTGGTTAAGCGAAACGATACTTTAATTAAACCTTAATTATCTTTTTACGACGTCACTTATCGTCAAAAGTATTGCAAGCGTTATTAACGCTTGTTGATAAGACCATACATAATTAAAGACAGTTAACAATTTTTAATTTGTACACAGATTATTATAATCTGTCTACGAGTGTTGTACTCGTAGATGTACCTACCTTATTTATACAATTTTATAGGTTTGCATGAAACCCTTCTTAGTATCAACTTATAGCTATAAACAAAATTGAATCCTAATTGTAACTTATGTGAAAAGTAAAATAAAGTGAGTTTAAGCATTTTACAGATCTTTTATATATATTTTAACCATTTCTACACTTCGATCAAATGAGATCAAAAAAACACAGTGGCCGAATTATTACTTAATCATAAACAAAACCTATCAATGGCAGACCTCAAAGTAGCTAAGTTAAGACGCTACTATGGACATCGGACAATTAAATTCACCTCAGCAGTGACATGAACTTAGCCTCACTGAGGATACTGATAAGACCATTCGGTCTTATCTCATTCCATTCGTCACAGACAGACACGTTTCCACTAAGAGAAAATTCTAAGTTTTTGTTTAATAGGTAAAATTAAAACTGAATCGGTTCAGTGATGATTGACGATCGCGGCGAAGATATTAATGTTTATTGCCTATATTAATTTATGTACCACTAACACTAGTCTATTTTTAAATATATACTAATATTATAAAGCTGAAGAGTTTGTTTGTTTGTTTGTTTGTTTGAACGCGCTAATCTCAAGAACTACTGGTCCGATTTGAAAAATTCTTTCAGAGTTAGATAGCCCATTTATCGAGGAAGGCTATAGGCTATATATCATCACGCTAAGAGCAATAGGAGCGGAGCACCAATGAATAATGTTTAAAAAACGGAGAAAATTTATTACTATTGAGAGACGCAGACGAAGTTGCGCGGGTTAGCTAGTTCTTAATATTGTTTTTTTCTCTTTATTATTCTTACACACTGGTGCTTAGAAACCTACTTAAACTATAAGAACTATTGAGGATATTTAATATCACTATTGTAGACCACACCACATATATTAATTTACTTGTAATAAATACTCTGGTCAGTCCAAATGGTCAATTATTAAAATTATTTTTTTCTACTTCTTACTTTTAAGCCATGATAGCCTAATATAATCCAAAAATACCTACAGTATAAAAAAAATCTTAATTAAAAAGTTAAATAATTCAATTATTATTTTTATAATTGTGCATATCCGTCCGGTCCGGTTTTAATTTTCTGGTTCTTTTATAGTAGTCATTGAAGTAAATCTCAACAACGAGTTTGAGTTATCTACAATAACATCTTAGTAAAAAAGTAAGAAATATTTTCAACAAAACCCTCACCTATAGACGCCACTCCTAATGAGACGTGTCCGTTTTCGTCTTTGAACTTATCTCGAAACTGTTCATAAAAGATTAACCGGCTCCCGGAGTAGACGACGTGGCGTTGAAACATGGGCATTAGGCCGCTCCATAACTTAGTTATACCTTCATTCCTCGCTATACCCATTGCCGTTTTGATCATGCCGTGGTTCTCCATCTGGGAACAAATGACTGTAGCTTATTTTTTATGCTAGAAAGGTAGCTTCTGGGTTCAAGTTTTTAAACCTATAATCACTTAATACTAACGATATGTCGATTGCTAAACAAAGTATTGGTAACCCTAAATCCAGCAAGATCAATACAAAACCTAAATCGAAAATGTATAAGCGAAAAAGTATTTTAAACCACCGATATTCTTAAATATCGAATCAGATTGTTTCCTAAGTCAAACTACAACCCTTTTCGGTTTTTTCTCAATGTTACCTATTTAAAATACAAATCTACTTATTAAATTAGCTATTAGGCTATTACCCAGTCGCCAACGCAAACGCAATATGCAGCGAATTCTTTTGACTACAATATGGAAACCAGTCTTCGCAATTAAAAAACAAACAAACAACATTCCTAAAACATTAACAAACAATATGTATGTATAAAAGTATATAATATGTATTTATATCATAAACTAAGCAGAGCTTGTACCTACTATGGGTACCAGACCCATAGTACAAGCTCTACTTAGCTTAGGACTAAATGCTAAATAGCTATTAATAATGCTAAATAGCTAATAATTATTTTGGGACTAAATGGCGTTGTGTGATTGTGTTTATAATATTATTATTATTAGTATAAAAATCTGAACTGGTAGTCTTATCTAAACTGTTCTAGTCTTGATCCCACTAGATATTTTTATGGTATAGTAAAAAAACAAACAGACCAGTCACCTGATGGCAAGTGACTGAGTACCTAACCCCCCTCGCCCCTCCCCATTTAGGAGGGGAAGGAGGCCTCTAGTATCATTATTAGGCCGTTGGTGTCTACTAATACAAAAAGCTCACCTTATATCCATGTCTAGCAGCAGCCACCTCAGACTGTATCTGGAGCCTTGTTTTTGTTAGGTCGAATGGATACGTTGCTGCAACAAAAAACCATTCATAAAGTATTTGAGTTCAAGGTCATTTTTTCACACCCACTTATAAAACGAATTATATAATGCATTTTTTGTACTTATATTTCTCTGTTTTTTTTTTTTAAGTGCATTTACGTTTGAACAAAAAAATGTGTTTCCAAGCCCTTCAGGATAACTATGATGATTAATATGATTATCATAGTTATAATAGGTGGTGCACGTGTTTTAACGTGTTATATTATTGATGGGAAAAAATATATCTAAAACTAATCTTCTGTTGTTTCGTTTGCGTTCTTTTATGTAGAAACTATTATGCTTATTTAGAAAACTAAAAATAAATCAATTTAAAACATGGTCTAAGTCATAAAAAAGGTAGATAACGACGCGACGCTTGAAAGACAATTATTACAAAGCGAAGCAAATGCGTAAAATGAGTTTTATACTATACAATTTAAATCTTCGAATCTTCTTGCGATTAAGGTATATACCCACATAATATAACTATATAACTAACATAATAATATGAATAACGTTTTAGGCTACACAATTCGGGTTCGATTCCCGGGTCGGACCAAATATTTGTATGATCTGTTAATATTTGTTTTGGAGTTTTCTATGTATATATATATGTATTTAAAAAAAAAAAAAACGAGTATTCCATCAGTCAATCTAGCTTTCACAGTACAAGCTCTGTTTAGTGGCTGCTCTGAAACTAGATGGCGTTGTGCGTCAGATGTCCGAAATATTATTGGAACGAAGTTCCTTATCGCGCGTTACACGCTCTGTGCGGATGGGAGCGAGACCTAAAAATGTGCAACAAGGCTTTTTTTCCGACACTTTCGTTGGCGCATCGACGCTCACGTCTTTTTCATATATTATATAGCTTATATCAGGGGTCCATACACCCCTCGCCTTTTATTATTTATGATATTTTAATTTTAAGACCTTAATATAAGAAAATTGTGGAACTGTTCAATATCAATAACTCATTTTACGTACTTGTATGTAGCAAGGATTGCCTTTGTTTTTGTGTTAGAAATTCCCATAAAATTCAATATTCTAATCGGCGATGCGTACCTACTCAATGTCGGTCAAGGACTTCCTGAGAGTAGGGCGAAGTCCAGAACCACGCCCGATACAAGACCAATCCTTATAATAAAGCTCAGTCACATAATAAAATTTATAACTTTTCTGTTCGGTGAAGGTAAGGTAAGGTAAATGATTATGACAACATTTAACAATAAACCGTCTAGACCCAAAGCGAAGAATAAATTCTAGTACCTATTCCCGAACTAACATCTTACGATGTGAACACAAATAAACACATTAACTTATTTTCCTCATAACCATAAGCTCTACTTTGTAACTATGTATTGTATTTATTTGTATAAATAAATTTGCTAGTATGCATGTGTATTTTTGAGATCGTCTAAATCTAAGTATTATCTATCATTCATATTTTCATACTTACATTATTAATGTGAAAGTGAGTTTGTTACGCTTTCACGCCTAAACCACTAAATCGATTATTTAAATTCTTTCACCAATGGAAAGCTACATTATCAGCGAATAACATAGACTACTTTTTACCGCGAAAACCGGTATATACGAGGACGGAGCCACGGACAAAAGATAATAAAAAATAAAATATATATTAATGTTGCAAATAATACAAGAGGTGTGTAGGTATACACCCAATAAATTTATTCATTTAGGAGGGATTGACCAATAAAATACGAGCAACTCATAAATATTCTGACTCTAAACAGTCTGGGCATTCATATTATTAATCGACTCGATAGACATATCGGTATACATTGTCAGAGGCATTAATCAACCAAAATAGTCTGTAATTATTCACTGTTCAACATTGCCCTCATTCGAACCGTTACATAACAATAAAACTGACGGAGCTTTGTTTGTGCGATGAGAGAATGTACCTACTCAATGTTTTATGAAAATCGTTTTATTTTCTTATATTATATGTAAGAACACATTTTAGTGTTAAAGGCAGGTTACCTCCTCTTGAAGTCACTCCATGGCCTATATAAACACTCAATAGTGAGTGGGACGTTGGAGAACTTGAAAAGATCGTAATTGGCAGACTGTCTAGTGTTCTCGGTTTAGCTTTGTTTTCTATTTAAAAAACGGACCCAAATTTAGTTGAAAGTTAGGTAACATTTCACTCAATACCACATTAAATCGGAATGGCGCCTAGTCGATTTATACACACTCATTTCTACACCACCCTAAGGTAGATTGGAAGAGAACGCTTTTAGCATTTAGTCAAACTCTGTACAAATTATGCATTAAATAACATTAAAAAAATCAGTGTTCCTCCCCACCCTACATTCCAGTATAAGATAGATTCGGAATAGACCTCCGTAAAACCTCACTCACTCGGTGAAGATAACGAAAGAATTGCTTAAGACCAGGCCCAAGTGTGTGTTTATTTCACATCTACTCGATCATCACGGTGATCGCGTTCGGCGCTGCGATTGGCCCGCACTGAAATCTTAACCAATTGCAACGCCGAACGCGCTCGCTGTCGAAAGTGAGTCGATGTGATATAAACTGCTGTCGAGAAATGTTTTTGTACGTAACCTTACCTCCTTCTGCACTACAAGCGGCGAGCACTGCCACGAAATAACGCGTGCCAACAGAATCGGTGATGGCAGAAGCAGGGTGGTGAGCGTTGCGTAGCACCGGCATCTTGTTCTATAATCACGTCTCTGATATCTTACTGACTTTGCCCATAATATCTGCAGACAAGTGAAAATTAGAATTATTTTTTTTCGAGTAGAATTTGAAAACCTATATGGTATAGGTAACCAGTAAAAAGGGAATAGAAACAACAATTCAAAGTTACTAATTAAAGAATGCAAAGACATCGTCTCTACTTCATAAGTTAAACCCTCCAAAATGTTAAGAAAATAAAGCACTGCATGTAAGGTTGCAAATTTAGATTCCTGGGTCCGTGGTTTCGATTGCTATCTGATTTTAAACTGGATCGGTCAAATAAATATTTATGCTTTAAAAACTAAATCTGTGCTTTTAAATGGACAGAGCATCGTTCAGTACTCTTACAAACAATTATATAAATACAGTTATTTTATTTCGAACATTTAATTGGTTCTCCATGCCAATTTAAACAATTGTTTTGCGTCCCTCTGTTTAAAATATTACTTCATGAGCCAAGTCCGCCTGTATGGTAATTAAAACAAACAAAAATACAAGTTGAACAGCGTTACGAGTAACAGTTATTTGCGACACAATCCTTTTTATTTAAAAATTTCCTTTGCGTAAATTTTTATCAAACCGGAATCTGCTGTGGTTTCATCTGTATCTAAAAATAACGCGCGTTAAATTTTAAATTACATAAAATTTGAAAAGGACTTAGAAATGTATTTTTATTACTATAATTGATTTGCGTAATTATTCTTACCGCATGGTTTTAAATGACTAGGTTTGAACTTATTACAATGAACTATCTATATGTAGTTCTTTTATGAATATACTTATTTTCAAGTTAATAACCGGAGGTACAAGTGTACAACAATATTTACATAATAACGCGAAACGACTCTAGGTATTAGTTGTTAAAATCCATGAGGAAGTGGAATCTTCGTTTTATCTTTCTCCATCAACATGACTTTTTATTTCTCTATTAAAAAAGTATTTTAATTTGCGGATAAACATTACTGCGTTATTACGTTAATAGCGTTTGTATAACCCTGCACTTTAGATATTCTTAGCCCTGCTCCTGTTTCAAACAATCCTCTTAAATGAGTCAACGACAAAAATATTTAAATAAATAAAATTATGATAACAAAAACAGTAAATCAAAGATAAAAAATAAACAGCAACAAACAGAGATAGATAAATAGGTAGTTACTGCTTATCTCGTAGCTTGAGAATCGATTAGTTCTGAACCGTCACCATCGGGTTACGCGAAGGTCAACTTGAGCACAATAAACTCACTTATTACTAATCTAAGATATACTCCTAGCTACATTTCAAACAGTTTTATTTCACTAGATTTACCGCATAGTTACTGTTTTAAATAAGAAGAGTCGGACTCGGAAGATCAATTTAATCAGTGTAAAAAAATTATCTCTATTCTGATGCTGTATTTAAAAATATATATTTACATCGTAAAGTAGGTGATACAAAAACAATAGAGTCAGTGTACTCTCCAATTAGAATCAATCGAATAATCGGATCGACAATTTGCTTATTGTATAATATGACAACTCGAAAGTTTTGTATAAGTCAAAATTCTACACACGTTTGATATGATAGGTATAAGTTCTAGCTTATTTAGGATATTTATAAACCCCTTGATATCATTAATGGTATGGTAAAACATTTAATTGACATGTCAATATATTTTAGCCGACAACATCATAAAGTAGTCAACCACATAAAATAATGACCAATTCCGTGATCTGACCACGACACATTATGTACTGCTGAACTTTAACAGTTTTAAATTTGAATGTAGTTGTGGTAGCGACAGCCCGCCACGTACGTTTATAATGATATGATTTGTATTGCATTGCAACACTGATTTGAAAAAAAATCTTTATTACTGCTCTGCACGGATGGCGTAGTGGTTTAAACGGCCACCCTCGCTGCTTCCTACAGAGTGTTGTGGTTCGATCTTCACATCAGACCACACTTTGTGTGTGATCCGCGAATCATCGTTCTGACTCTGGATCTTCTTTGTGTCCGTTTTATAACTGTGCGTAAAGTTCCCCGCGACTTACAAGATTAATTCACACACGATTCAATGTACACACAATATTAATACACCTCCTAAAAGTATTAATCTAAAGTGGACAGTACAATAGTAGGAAAGGTTAAATAAAAAAATAGGACTTTATGAGAAAGAAGTGTTAGGTACATGGGCGCCGCCGCCCGCGGCGTGATTGATTCTAGGAACAACAGCGCACAATGCACGTTGCATAAAATGATGGTTTACTTACACGCGTAGTTGTAGCTAGAAATAGGGACAAACTGGACTGCTATTATAGCTTGCTTTTATAAATACTAGAAATCGCGTGACGATTGAATTTCGAACGTTTTGAATGTTTTATGGCAAGGCCCCAGAACAACTTGAACCGTCATGTTTAGACTTTTGTACCAAGACAGATTAACTTTATGCTAGATACTTTTTCATAGCTTTCTGCATTTATTTTACAAATAAACATGCATATGATACATAATAAACATATAAAAGTATTCCAAATACGAAGTTCTACTGTGCGCCCATGCCATATTTAATTAAAAAGGGTATAAAGAATTTTCTCAGTTTTATCGTATTCGAAAAGTCAAACCGCAAAGGGTGCTTGTTATGTAGATATTTAATGACAAAACAAATAAAGGTTTTTAGTCTGCCTAACTCGGAAGGAAAAAAGATGAGTAGGTAGTAGGTACGTACGTACTTACGTATATGTAGGTATAATGTGTAATCACTAAGGGTCAAAGAACCACATGTGTTTGGAAAAGTACTTATCATTTATTCTATATACCTATATATTATATTGCATCAAGAACGCATTGAAACTGAACTTTGTATCTATACAACTGCTTGTTGTTCTCTTGTTTGACTTTCGTAGCTAATGCGGTTAAATTAACTATGTCAGTCTTGTTGCCTTCCCTTACCGATAAAACTGATTTGTATTAATTAAAATTAACGTCAACACAGGCGAAAACCACAATATTATACATAGGAATATATATGAAGACTATTTTATGCATGTTGTACTATCTGTATATGTATATCTAAATTTACAGGGTTACTGGGTAAGTCGACCTAGATACTTTAAGGGGCTGTAGTTGCCATAATTTCTGATAAATTTCACTATGAAATACCACATTACAAACCTAACCATTTTAAAGATATTGGACTAATAAGATTTCTCATAAAAATTGCAGAAATTTTGCCTAATACAATTTTTTTAGAACTTATATCCTTAATTTTATTTCTGTTTTTATGTAGTTGATAAATTGTTTTATAATTTCAATTACTAAACTGGGCCGAAGTAGATGGTTGATAATAGCAAAAAGTAATAAATTTGTGAAAGATTTTTTTTCTTTGACGAATAAAATAAAATAAAAACTGACAGTTAAACAGCAGATATGTTAAAAAACATGTACCTATTATCAGCTATCTAACAAGGTATAATAGTCTAGGATAGTATCAGAATTCATAGAAAAAAACTTAGATGTAAGAAATAGCGTACAAGCCAGTAGTACCTAGTTAAAAACTTGGATGGAATTTTTAGACTGTTTCGTTTTCTATTCGTGACTAACTATTGCTAAGTGGACTTTGATTTGTGCTTCTGATACTGTTGGAGATGATGACCAACGAGGAATATGTTCATATTTCGATTTCTTACGGATACTGCCAATGCGTATCCACACTAGACAGTCCCATTAAATATTAAGTAACTAAAACATCCTCCTACTACGATAGTTATTCAAATATTTAGTCGTATTTATTTAATACCTGAAATAAAAACTACTAGTATACCTATTTAATGGGACTGCCATTAAATAACTAAAATATCCTCCTACCACGATAGATATTCAAATATTTAGTCGTTAATATTGGAATATTTGAAATGAAAAGTACGTGTACTAAATATTGCTCTTTAACACTGTTGCTTTGTATTCGGTTTTTTTCACATCACGTTTTTACTACCACGATCATCTATAATGAAATATTAATTTTATTATAATAACTCAGCTCCTTATTACAAAAATTAATACTGTTTCATTTTTCGTTTGTTACTTGGTGCATATTTCTGAAGAAAATACCTAAGGCCTTTTCTTTAGAAATATGCATTTACAATTTTTTTATGGCATAGGGGAAGGTGGGGGGGCAAACGAGCAGACGGGTCACCTGTTGGTAAGTGACTACCGCCGCCGCCGTGGTGTGATATTTTTCAGGGTAACAAAAGTATATTAATAAGCATATAAAGGCCGCAGTCCTTTTCCGACTTCAACGATATAATGTAGCCAGTAAGGATTTAAGATTTAGCAAGAAAATAAACGAGTACATTTTTGCTAAGCTGTTGGCAACGTTTCTGCAGTGTCGAATGGAAATACTGTGACTGTTCTGGATTTACGCCAAATGCCTAACTTTTTTCCAATATTATTTGTTAAACTTTAATAGAAAATTGTTATTTACATTGCTTATGAGTTTGACAGTGAATATTTATCTGTTCTTCGACTCAACTTATTTTGTAGGAGTGTGTTCCATATTTGTCCCTCATAGAATCTAATAATCTCATTTCATAGTTTTAAGGAACTTATTGCATACTGCCTCGAGACTCTAGACAGCTAAATAGGCGGAAACTTTGTCAACCTAACAGCTCTATTATGTACTAAATTATAAAATAATAATATAATAATAATATTGTACCACATTCACACAACGCCATCTAGTCCCAAACTAAGCAGAGCTTGTACTATAGACAACTGATATAAATACATATCGCACCTCCGATAAAATAGTGTAATAACACAAAAAATTAAAATGTTCAGGATAAACAAAAATGTTCAACTTATTTTTTTGGAACGAGAATTTCTTACATTTTTTCCAAATATTACATACATATTATATATCAATATAAAGCTTATAAAAAATGCTATTTATCTGTTTTATTAGTTATTTTAAATTAATGTTTTTTTATACAATTTTT